TAGTAGGGAGGTGGTGGAGAAGGTGACGGTGGAGGAGGTGACTTGTAGTAGTAGGGTGGAGGTGGTGAAGGTGATGGTGGAGGAGGAGACTTGTAGATGTAGGGTGGTGGAGGAGATGGCGATGGTGGTGGTGGTGACTTGTAGTAGTATGGTGGAGGGGGAGAAGGTAGTAGGGAGGTGGTGGAGAAGGTGACGGTGGAGGAGGCGACTTGTAGTAGTAAGGTGGGGGTGGTGATGGAGATGGTGGAGGAGGGGACTTGTAGTAGTAAGGTGGTGGGGGTGATGGCGATGGTGGTGGTGGAGACTTGTAATAGTATGGTGGAGGAGGAGATGGTGATGGTGGTGGTGGTGATTTATAATAGTATACAGGTGCAGGTTTGGGTGATGGTGGTGGAGGAGACTTGTAGTAGTAAGGTGGGGGTGGTGATGGAGATGGTGGAGGAGGGGACTTGTAGTAGTAAGGTGGTGGGGGTGATGGCGATGGTGGTGGTGGAGACTTGTAATAATATGGTGGAGGAGGAGATGGTGATGGTGGTGGTGGTGATTTATAATAGTATACAGGTGCAGGTTTGGGTGATGGTGGTGGAGGAGACTTGTAGTAGTAAGGAGGTGGGGGAGAAGGTGATGGTGGTGGTGGTGACTTATAATAGTACACGGGTGCAGGTTTTGGTGATGGTGGTGGTGGTGATTTGTAATAGTATACAGGTGCAGGTTTTGGCGATGGTGGAGGTGGAGATTTATAATAGTATATCGGTGCAGGTTTTGGTGATGGTGGAGGTGGAGATTTGTAATAGTAATGTGGTGGAGACTTAGTTGGTGGTGGTGGAGATTTGTAATAGTAAGCAGGTGGAGGTGGTGACTTGTACACATATTTTGGTGATGGAGGAGGTGGTGACTTATAAACATAAGTGGGTGAGGAGGTGGTGACTTGTACACATATTTTGGTGATGGAGGTGGTGGTGACTTGTAAACATAAGTCGGTGTTGGAGGTGGAGGAGATTTATAATAGTATGGAGCAGGTGCAGGCTTGGGTTTTAGGCAATCTGCATAAGGTGTCTTTGAGCCATAAGCAAATGGTTTTGCATAGAGTACAACTTCATATTTATTCTTTGACTTCACTTTGAGGTTAGCACCCTTAATTCCCCAATGAAGATTTGTAGGAATGCTACACTTTGAATCCTTAGGAGCATTGTGGAGTTTAGCCTTGCAAGCCTTTGCTCCATATTTGCTATATTCAAATCCTTCAACATTGATGCTAAATTTGCCATTGATCTTAGTGGTACCATAACTCACAATTTCTTTGTCACCGGCCTTGCAAGTCACTTCAACAACAGCACCTAATCCATTTTAAAAGAAACATTAATTAACACAAACAATTTATAGATGAATTTTGATCAGAGCATAATGAACAAAGCAACAAAAAATAAAATATGTATAGTTAAACAATTTTTTGATGATAAATTAAAAGAAAAACAAAATATGAGTGTAGTATAAATTATAAAGACTATGGTACCTTTCAAGTGTTTCTTGTCGTGAGACATCTCTGGGTGCTTCCAATTATGGCATCTAAAACAATAGACTTTTCCGACAACTTTGACTACAAATTGATGATGTGGAGGATAGTAATGAGTTGGTGGTGGTGGTGAAGTATAGTAGTATGTTGGGGGAGAAGACTTCTTTGGTGGTGGTGGTGGAGACTTGTAGTAGTATGGAGTTGGAGGTGACTTAACTGGTGGTGGTGGGGAAGTGTAGTGATATGGTGGAGGAGGTGATTTCTTTGGTGGTGGTGGCGAGGAGTAGTAGTATGGTGGAGGGGGAGACTTCACTGGTGGTGGAGGAGAATTGTAATAGTACGGGGGAGGAGGTGATTTAGCCGGTGGTGGTGGAGACTTGTAATAGTATGGTGGGGGTGGTGATGGGGAAGGTGGAGGAGGAGACTTGTAATAGTATGGTGATGGTGGTGAAGGTGATGGAGTAGGTGGAGACTTGTAGTAATATGGTGGTGGAGGAGAAGGTGAAGGTGGTGGTGGAGATTTGTAAATGTATGGTGGAGGAGGTGAAGGAGTAGGTGGCGGTGGAGACTTATAATAATATGGTGGGGGTGGTGACGGTGAAGGTGGAGGTGGAGACTTGTAGGTAATATGGAGTGGTGGTGAAGGTGATGGTGGAGGAGGAGACTTGTAGTAATATGGTGGAGGTGGTGATGGTGATGGAGGTGGGGGAGACTTATACACATAGGGTGGTGGTGGAGACGGTGAGGGAGGTGGTGGGGACTTATACACATATGGTGGTGGTGGAGATGGCGATGGAGGGGGTGGAGACGTATACACATATGGAGGAGGTGGTGATGGAGAAGGAGGAGGAGGAGACTTATAAACATATGGAGGTGGGGGAGAAGGCGAGGGAGGAGGTGGAGACTTGTACACATAAGGTGGTGGTGGAGACGGAGAAGGAGGTGGTGGTGATTTGTACTCATACACTGGAGGTGGTGGAGACGAGTATACATAAGGGGTCTGCCGACACTACATTAGCAACAGCCAATATGGCCAATGCCACTAAGATTTGTGGCAAATATTGACGACCCTTGTCAGGGCCGCCATTGTTAAGCCTCATATTGCCGGAAAATTACACCACCTAGCCTCCCAAATGTGGTTAGCTAGTTAGGGGAAGAAGAAAGAAGACAACTTTTAGTTTTTCAGTTGAGAAGTGATGCCTTTTGTGGACTCATTGGCCTATGTATTTATACTAAAATTTCTTGATAAAATGGTTGTTAGTAAAGAGCTGTCTAAAAGGACTAGTTCAATTGCTCTGATTGATAATCAAAGTGCAAAAACATTATTAATAGCTCTTAACAGCTGGATATACAAGTTTTCATTTTATTTATTGAAGTCCATCTCTGTATCACTTTGAATATTTCCCCATTATCTTTTAACAAGTAGTTTGTTACCTGCTATGAGAACACACAAGAACACATGCCATGAACTGGCTTAAGGGAAAGAAAGTGCTATTTTTTTAATATTTCCACTCTCTTGCTATTATTTCAATAGCCAGGGTGTGGGCTGATAAGCATATTTCTGTATCAACCTACAAAACTTAAAAGATTCATATTTTCAAAATACAAACAAACTAGTGCTCATATTCTGTGATATTGAATTTTTTAGTGTTCAATAATTACAACAACTTTGACTTGTCAAGCCAAATTAGTTAATCTATCTTCCCCTGCTTTACTTGCCTGTTGATCTATAGTGGGTAAGGTTATATATATATTCTGTCGTGGACTCGCGCTAGCTGGTAAAAAACCAAGACTAATGTTGTTGGAGTTTATTACTAACTAGTTTCAGGGCACGTGCGTTGCACGTGTGTCCCAATTCTACTAGCATATTTTTTTTAAAATAATAAAATAATATTAAACATGTGTGGAAAGAGTAATATAAATTTGAAGAAAGAAAGTACAAATTGGCTATCTAAAGCTGGTATTACCACCACTATAGCTCATTCAATTGTGTGGGAAATTAATATTGCATGTAAAGCCAAGCTATTGAAACTAATTTACTATTGGATTTTAATAAAGTCACTAAAGTTAGCCACACAATTTATCTTGGTTTATGCTTTTCCCTTATAATCATATCATCATATCATCATATATTATTATAAGTGGGAGGCTCAATTTTCAAAGTTGAATTACTCTTTTACCCTTTTACTAAATAAAAATATTTAATTAATAAAAATATCTAATCTAATTAGTAGCAATATTTAAATTGTTACACAATTACTGCACCCTAATGTAATAAATAAAATATCTACTCTAATTAAATAGGAGTAATATTTTAATTATCACACAATTACAGCAGCCTATATTCAATGTCTTGGAATTGCTAGCTTTTTCATCTTCCTAAAATTGTCCTCTATTCAATATTTTGGTTTCGTTTCAACTTCCTTAACTTATTTTTCAATTTTTTATACCAATTTAATGTCTTGGTATTCTACTTTAACATGCATTGAATCAAATCAAAATGACCCTTTTGAATTTACGCAATAAGCCTCTTCGTTGCTAAATAAATAGAAGAATTGGAAGAGTTGCATTCAGTAATTAAATGTAGACTAATTATTAACTAGGAATAAAAAATATATGAATAAAAAAGTTCAAGGAATGCGCATCAGAAAAGATCTATAAAAAGGCCAAATTATATGAATAATTAAATTTAAATTATTACAAAATGTTTTGTTGGTTCGTTTTGCCACTATTTCATGAATATATACACATTTAAGTCACCTTCTTATGGGATATTTTGTACTCCTATCTACACACTACTTTTTCAGAATATTTTTATACTATCAATCAAATAATACATTTACCTTTTAATAATAAATCAATAAATTGTGAAACATTAATGTGAAGTTCATGAATCTGTCTAGCCCTTAGTGTAGTTTATCTTTTACTATATAATTATATGCACTTATCCCATTAATTTTAAATTTGTTATTTCTTTTAATTTTCATCCATTAGAAAACTTTTCATGTACTCTATTAAGTTTTATATAATATACGTATAACATTTTTGGAAAAAGTATAGGATGCAGTTACAATTGATTTGCACAGTAATTTAGGTAACTGTATTGTTATTCAAATTATAGCATATAATTGAAAGCTAGAGATTCTTCTAGCCGATTGCAGATTTGAGGCAGCAATAAGTGAAGCAGTTCTTGTCAAAGAACCATTTCGTGGTAGTTTACCTCCCAGGTGATGTTGATTAATTAGTTAAAATTGTTGTGTCTTTATGTTGTTAATCTTTAATTTGTGTTACACTTTAATATGTAATTACATGGATTACTATAGAAAAAAAGTGTTATATATGAGATTATATACTTTAGAGGTTTAATCCAAAATTTGAAGTTATTTGTCTAATACGGTGTTGTAATGCATGAAACACATTGATTTTAATAGCTTGTCATGTTGTATGTGATATTATATAGTATATACAATTTTACTAATTATTTATGTTAAATTCAAAGATGAAATGACTTAGAAGTTTAAATCAGACAAAAGGTAATCTTCCCTTTCAAAATTCATATAACTCATTGCACATTTAATCTAATTTTAAAAAAAAAAAAATTACTTAGCGTGAAATACACGTGCAACGCACGTGTTCGAGAACTAGTAAAATAATAAATATGTGGCTGTTTATACAACTACAACATGACATGATAAAATATAAGTTGTACCAAAATTTCCAAAATTAATGTTACTACAAATAGCACTAAAGAATCTTACCGCAAATTAAGCACAAATACAATACGTATACACATTTTAAAGTGTAAGCATATAACTAACCCTTTTTTAGTAATACAATTGTAGGAATAATTTTATAAAGCTAGTATCCTAAATCAGCATTTTAAACCATCATAACATACAATTAAAAAGCAATTATTTATATGGAAGAAAATAAATATCAACCTCACTACCATATTCTTACTATTCTAGGAGAAAAGGATGATATTGTATTCTTATGTAAATATGTCATATTTTTATGATTATTGTGAAGTTGGGAGTGTGATGAAATGGAGCATAATTATCCTATTTATCACTCTTTTGTAAGTAAAATTTTATATAAAAATCCATATTAAATGTGAGTCCTTATAATTCATAAGAATGTGAATGGTCAAATTTTCATTTTATAAACATAGGAGCAGAAAAGTCTACTATAAGGTTGATTATCATATTTACTTAGTATTTATTAAGAATACATTAATAAATCAAATACAATCCGATATTCCTTATTCTCCTAATCCATTATTTAGCCAGTATTGCATTTAAAGTAAATAATGCATCATCAACTTGAAAATTAAGAGCAAAAGGATAATTCAATTTTGAGGTTAGGATCTTCCAATTTTTTATATATATATATATATATATATTTTATTATTATTATTATAATATGATTAGACTTTCTCTTTCTTTATCATAAGTATCTGAAATCCAATGGAATATAGTACACTATTTCCTACCATCTAAAAGAGTCATTTTACGTGTATAAAAAAAATAGTATTATATTTGAATCCACACTAAAATTATAAGCCTGCAATATACTATAAGATCAGTAACAATGTATACATATGGTCATTTTCTTCTCAACATCTCTGAGGGTAAACTCCTCTCTGTATGACATTATCAGCAAGTCAAAATCATTAAAATTCAAGCAGAATAAAAGAGATTCAACTACATTATTCCAAAAAAAATACCTCAAAAGATTCTTACCTTTATTTTGTAATTTTTCATAATGTTACGTGATTTAGCCTCCGACTCAACCTACAAGTATTTTTATCCACATCTTAAAATACATAAAATTTGTATTCTAAGAAAACAAACTTATAATTAGCACGTCAAAAATCTCACCATTGGATTAGTTAGAGAAGAGCTAAAGACGGAAGTGCAAAAAAGAATTGTGTAATAGAGTAAAAATACCAAAAACTGTTAAAGGTAACAAAAAGAAAAACAAAAAAAACTACCTAATTTTGGAATCAGGAGACGAAAATTAACTTGAATATGCAATGAAGCGTCATGCTTTAGTATTTATATTTATATTTATAATAAGTAGTACAATTTGTAAGTTGCATAGAAATAATAAAATATTGTAATAAATAGGTATTGAGTGTTTAAATTGTCAGTAATGTTTTTTTGATAAAATTGTGATGAACTTTTATTGTTAATTTCTACAAAAATCACATAATTAATAACTCTAAAACATTTTAATTAAGAAGAATACATAAAGATGAAGCTTTTTGTCTACCCCTTTGAATTACAAGAAATAAGAAATAAAAAAATAAGAAACAAAGAATTAATAGCTATTAAATATGGTGATGGTTAGACTACTAAACTCATTTTGCCTTTTGATGATTCATTATAATTTGATAAAAATAATTATTATAATTAAATGGTATATTTTTGAATGTTTTTATAATTTTGTACATGAATATGAAGAAAATTGTTCATGATTACAGGATAAAAACGTCCAACAATTTTTAATGGACATTTTGATAATTGAACTTTCAATTTATAAGTTTTCCACTTTTAGAATAGAAATATAACATATGCATCAATTGAAAATTCAGAAATTGATATAACAGAAAATGAAATTATGTTTCGTAGATTTAAGTACAATGAATATGAATTTACTATTATATTATTATTCTATAGATAATATTTATTATTAAAAATAATATTAATATAATATTAACTCTTTTTAGAGACTTTTAAAATGTAAAACAATTGATAAGTAAAAAAATAGAAAAATTAAAGACAACCACAAAGAAATAAGTTTTGCTAGTTCATAAGGTGTTGTGTAAATATTTTCACTCAAAAGAAAACGTAAAAACTATAATAATTCTATAATGAAATAATGATTTCCATGAGAAAGGAAAGAAATTATTACCAGAAGAAAGGAAAGAACTTATTTATTGTTAGTATTTTAACTGTATAGAACCTGCACAAATAAAAAAAATATAATCACATGGTGCTTCAAAGTTAAGTGGGCACAATATTATTCCAAATAATCTAAATACAAGAAAAGAATATAACCACATATATAGATGTTCACGAAGACCAAAAAAAACAAGAAAAAACAGCAAGCAATATGCATAATATAAAAAACTCTTTCAATTTTAAGATATTGATAATAAACAAATGCAAAAGTTGATCAATATTAAAGAACAAATCTTTCATTTCTGAAAATTGAAAAAAAAAACCTTACGTGGGTTATCTCTTATGGAAGAAGTATAGTTATATATTAATATAGTCATTGAATTCTTAGAGAAGACATGGTTCTTTATTAAAAAGTTATGACCTTTGGACTTCTTTTTACTTAAATTCCAAAAAAAAAAAAAAAAATCTAAAAAGGGCAAAATGGTAATCTAACTTTGAAGTTAGGAGCTTCCCACTTATAATAATATAATATAATATAAATGCTAAGGTGCGTTACAATGGGATTGTCTGAATCTCGTAATAATTATTTACCATATGCACGATATATACAACATGCCCAACATATTCCAAACATAAGTGTGATACTTTTGTACGTTACTGAATCCCCCTATTAGGATCCTTGGTTCCGCCACTGATCACATGCATGGTTAAAATGTTCAACTTATTAGCGAATAGATGAATTATTTTCTTTTTGGAACACTAGTTGGCCGGTGCAAGAACCTTGATAACTTAAAAGCACAAATAGCCCTTTTTATGATGATGGTCGATGGATCAATTATATGTATGTTTATTGTTGATGGCTTAAAATTATTTGTTGCCTACTAGATTTGGTGGTCTAGAAACTTTGAACACCAACATTTTCTTTGACATCAAATTGTTTCGACAAGTCTGAGTGTATTTTATGTATATACATTGTTAATACACATAACTTAAACTCAAAAAAATAAAATAAAGAAGAACGAAAGCACGGATGTGTACTTTTTGAATTAGTAGTAGTGCATGCCAAGTCTTAGAAAACGATTTCTTTTGTAATCTTTTTGTATTACTCATTTGCATAATCATAAGTGTTGGAATGAGAATCATGAGATTTCAGGGTTAAATTTCAATGTAGGTAGAAATATTGGTGATTTTTGGCTTTTGTCTAAGCTTTGGTAGATAAGAGTTATCCGATATCAGTATTGGTGGGAGGTAACAAGTATCTCATGTAATTAGTCGAGGTACGTGCAAACTGGCCTGACTTAAGTTCAATAAAAGGATTTCTTTTCTTGTTCTTCGTTTCAATTTTAGTTACTTCTTCCATGTATTTTATCTTCTTTATTTCGTTAATCAATTATTAATTCTGATCTACTCCAGACAAAATATTGGAGGTGGATTGTTTAACTTTTCAGACATACAATAATATTTTACACATTATAAAAATATGAGAAGTATTGAAAATTTTAACCTTTGTAACATCAATGTAAAAGATTTCAGTTAAACATTTTTTCTCTTTAATTTGAGAAGGCGAATACTAAAATTGAATTTTAACTTCTCTACTCTTTAACTACTAGGTTATCTAATAGATAACTACATGTTGTGTGTTGTATCAAATTAAGCTACCTGCTCCACCTTGTGCATGTCTTGTCAATTCCTTTGGGTTTCAGTCTTGTGATGTACTCTTTGGGGGAGTTTATCACGAGTTAGCTGGCCTCCTGACTTCCGTAGATCAAGGGTAAACACTCATCGTTTTTGACATGGACTACTAGTGTATTCAATCCTATTATAGATCTCTAGCCACATTCAAAAAAAAAGAAAAGAAAAATAGTTCTTCTTCCCTTTTGTATTTTCATTTTAAAATTTTTTGGTAAGAAGTACCCCAGTGCATATTGTGAAAGCACAGAGGTGTGTTTTACTTATACATATCTTGAACTACTTCTACATTAAGACTATAGTCAAGATCTTAAACTAATTGTAGATATTTTCATTTTCAATTTATTTATATATATTTGGAGAAGACTAATTTAATTTGTTTGTAACATGTTTACAGAGGTAAAAGATAGAGAAAAACAAGAAGAAAGTGAATATAATAAAATTGATCTTCTTATTGATTTGTGCACAAAGTACATGAAGGTGTTACAGGAACAACATACAATAATAATTAATAAGAATGAATAAAAGAGGACAATATCCTCAATACAAATAATAAGTTACAAAGAAACAAGCTCTAAGAAGCATCAAAGCCTAGATACGTTCATGTGAACGCACTAAGAAAACAATGTGCAAGAAGACCAAAAGAGAAGTAGAATCAAATATGTCCATGTCATGAAGAATCAACCCTTTAATTAAAAGATTGAACATCTTATTCCATAAATTAATTGCTTTGTACCATTGACGTTTGAATCTATTCCTCAAGAAGCCATCATTTATTTTGTGTTTCAAACTAAAATCTGAAAAGAAACAACCAAATAGAAGATTAGAGACTTAATTCAAACAAAAGAAGAAAAAAAGGTTGAATATCATATGAAAAACTTACAAATTTAAACAACTACTCACTTGATTGATTGTGGAGAATGACTGCACTCTCAAAACCTCTTAGTAGTGGACTGGTGGTGGTGGTGAAGCGTAAATGTACGCCGGTGGAGGAGGTGATTTCACTGGTGGAGGAGGTGAGGTGTAGTAATAAGGAGGAGGAGGAGACTTTACGGGTGGAGGTGGAGAGTGATAGTAGTAGGGAGGTGGTGGAGAAGGTGACGGTGGAGGAGGCGACTTGTAGTAGTAAGGTGGGGGTGGTGAAGGTGATGGTGGAGGAGGAGACTTGTAGATGTAGGGTGGTGGAGGAGATGGCGATGGTGGTGGTGGTGACTTGTAGTAGTATGGTGGAGGGGGAGAAGGCGATGGAGGTGGGGGAGACTTGTAGTAGTATGGAGGTGGGGGAGATGGTGATGGTGGTGGAGGAGACTTGTAGTAGTA